TGATAAAATGTTATATTTATTAATATATAAATCTTAATTATAAGCTAAATCTTTAAGCCGGTTCGATATATCGTTTTCGTTTATAAGTATAATACGAGAGTTTCGAAGGTTGCGCAAATTCTATTTTTCTTTTGCGTTAATATTATTACGGTCTCGAGGCTTAAGCTTTTTTATATTATATTTATCGTTTGAATTAGCTTTATCTGCTTTATTAGCTATAAAAAGAAGATCGTAATAATTTAGCGAATGCAAAGAATCGCTATAAGGATCTCGATAAAAGCGCTTGCACGCGTTATACGTAAAAGCAAATGTTATATGCTTTTCTTTAGTAATATTAATAAATAAATCGCTTTCTATTTAATAAAAGTGATGCAATATTAAGTAAGTACGCGAGTTGTGCTTATAATCGTTATAGACTTTAATGTTTGAGTATTAAAGATAGTAATTAATAACTTAAAGCTTGCTTTTTCGTATAAAATTCTTTTTTTAATATATGTAAATATCGTATACTTTAAAGAAATTTAAAAAAGTAATATCTTTAATACGATTAAAGCGTTATCGATAACGTTAAAAGTTAAAAAGTTTAAGTTCTAACTTATTCTTATTCAACTCTACTTAATGCTTTTTGTCTTTATTTAGTTTGCAGTTTAAATTGATAAAGTTCCGAATAGATTTAATTAAACCGAGCTTAAGAAGCAAGTGATAAACCTTTTAAGCGTTATAATCCTTTTCTTTTAATAACTTATTAATCATCTTAAAGACTAGCGAAAGAGCCGGAGCTTTAGTATTAATATGTTTTAGTATTATATTAACAATATCTTTATAAGAGTCGGATTCTTTTTTATGCTTAAAGCAATATTTAAAAGCGTACTTTAAGAAACCTTTAAAGCTAAAGACAAGCTGTATATCTGTATTAGCTAACTAGCTTAATATAAAAACAAGTAAGAAAAGGTTTTGTAAAAGATGATTGCGTTAAGCAGTAAATTAATACTTTCGAAGATTTATTTTTCGATTGTAATCAGCTATCGGTTGCATAAAGCGCTTATAATAGAATCTGCAAGAGAAGACTCTTATATCTTTGTTTTTACGTAAATAGTATTTAGTTAAACAAACGCGATAGATTTGCATCCGATTAATTAACGCAATAAGTTAATCGATCGTATTCTTAATTATATTAAAAAGTAAAAAGGTCGGGTTTTGCAGATTTAGCAAACGAGTCGCATTAAGGTTATAAGCGGTAATATAATTTTTTTAAAAGCTAACGAAGTCTAGAATACGAAAGTAATCGTCTTTCTTAAAGTTTATATTAAGTTTAAGCTCGCTCGTATCGTTCGGTCTGCTTTTTAATTAAAATATATCGTAAATATAGCTCGAGCTACGATTTTGCTACTTTTATCGCGCTTAAAAATCAGTATACGGCAAATAATAATTTAAGATATCTTGTAAAAAGGCTTGCTAACGGATATAAATATAATAAGCAATAATAGCAAAGTTTTCTTAAACATTATTTTATATTATCTTGGCTCGCTTAGCTTAATTAGCGGTTTTGTATTTATTATACCGAAGAACATAGCGTTAAAGGTCTTCTTATTATATGTTCGCAACACTTTATATAAAAAAGGCTGCTATAGCGTTTGGCTAAGACTTGGCTAATGCTTCTAGCTAATAGCTTTGCTTCTTTTAAAAAGGACGAATGCTATTAATAGCTTGCTTATAGCGCACGATTTGATTAAAAAAAGCTAGCTGCTTTTTTAATTGATTTCGCAAATTATTAATACTTAAGTCTTTAATATCTTTCCGAGACTTAATAAAGTAAGAAAATACTTTTGCGACTTTAAAACGCATTAGAATATTAAAAAAGTAAAACCGGAAACGAAAGTAAGTTGCAAAACGCTTATCGCGGTACTTTATTAAGTGTTTAGCATAATCTTTTATATTAACCTTTCGAAGTCGTTAAGTATAGAAATCGCTTGCGCTAGTAAAGAAGAGTATAAAAAAAGTTAAATTAAAAAGCTTTTAATTAAGCTTTAGCTTAAAGATTAAAATAGACCGCTAGCTTAAAGCAAAAGCAAAAACATATTGCTTCGATGCAAGTTTATTGATTTAAGCAAAGAGCTAATTAGATTTCGTAATATTTAAATTCAAATCGAGAATTGTAATCTTTAAAAGAAGACGCTCTTGATTATTAAATAAATTATCGTTAGCATTTAAGTAATCTTTTATATTAAGTAAAGTATCTTTATCGTTTGCAAAAGCTTTATCTTCGCTTGAATTTTCTTTAAAATTACCGCGAGCTTCTCGGCGTAAGCGGCGTCGTTGTTATATCGATAACTTTATAGCTAGAGCCGTTATGCTTAATAAAGGCTGTTTAGGTTTTTCGTTTTTAATAATTGTGATTCGTTTTTTTATATCTTTATCTACGAGTAAAGAATCTATTAGATTTTAATTTATATTGATATTAATATACTTAAGATTATTTGCTTTTAAAAAAGTAAGTTAAATATAAATCGTAAAGCGCCGAACTCGGTATTCTTTTTTAAACTGCTTGCTAATCCGAAGGTCTTTATTAAAACCTTTAAGCTTAAAAATAATTACGTTAACCTTTTTAAAAAGCAAAAGAAGGTTTTTAAAGAACTTAGCGTTATTAAAAGCAAAGGTTATTACGTGGCTCGAATACTTATATTAATAGCCGCGATAGCGTTAAAGCGATATATTAATATATAACGGTAAGATTAACGCTTCTTTTAATATCGAAAGCTTTAGCAAGTAGTCCGGCACTTTATTTAAGTTTATATTATTACGAGCTGTTATAAGATAAAGCTGTTTAAAAAGATCCGGTTTTTTAATAGATTTATTACAGCGGTTATACTCGTAACAAATGATATCGCCGCGGACTACTTTTAATTTTATTTCGAATTATTTTTTATTGCAGCGAAAGCAAAAGTTTATTTAAATAGCTTTTATAATCGAGTGAAAATCTTAGATCATCTTTTATTCTTTTTTATTAACCGCTAGCTTATACTCGATTAAAGTAGCATATAATTGTAATATATTTAAGAAAGAGATAGACTTTTAAAACTAAAACGTGCGGCGGCGTTTTTGTTCGGCTTAAGCAGCTTCTTTAATAGCTTTTCGTTTATCTTTTCGTTGTATGCAATTCTTTCGTTCGATATTAGCTTAAATCTTTCGAGCTTTACGTATTTTACGACTTTGTTTTAAATCGTTTAAGCGATAGCCGATAATTTTTAAGTCGGATCCGGAATTAAAAAAGAACATTTAGCGGTTCGAAGAGTTTTGTAAAACGCTAAACGATTATAAAAGAGATAAGCTAGAAATTTGTTTTTTAAAACAATTACGACGCAATTGCAATTTTAATAGAATACGAATAATAAGTTTCTTTAAACGACTTTTTCGTTTTTTTATTAAAAAAGATAAAGACGAGAGTAAGAGTTCATTATCTTTAAAGTCTTTTTTTTAATTATTATCTCGCTATAATTAATAAAACAGTAGTAAAGTATTAAAAACCTTTTTAAAAAAAGACGTGTTATTTGTATTAAGTATATTAAATAAAAGCAAAGTGTGTAAGATTAAAACGATAAGCTTAAATCGTAAATTAAAAGAACTTAAATAATATTAATAATTTTAATAACTTAAGTAATTCGAGTAATTCTAGTAACTTTAATAACTTAAGTAATATATTTAAACCGCTTAAGCTTCTTTAGAAAGCTTTAGACTCTGCTGCAAATCTAATGCGCCGATTCGAAAGAAGTGAGCTTTAGCAAATTAATAACTTTAATAATTCTAATAACTTTAATAACTTTAGTAACTCTAGTAACTTGGTTAAAAGAGCTTACTTATGCTACTTTGCGGCGGCTTACGTATAAAACCGTATAAACTCTTAATAAAACCCGAATTTTACACGCGCTAAGGCTAGCCGTATAATCGAAACCTTAATAACTTTAATAACTTTAATAACTTTAGTAACTTGGCTAAAAGGACTTACTTATGCTACTACTTATGCTATTACTTATGCTACTACTTATACTACTTATCTTATTATTTAAAGCAAGCTTACGTATAAAATCATCGTATATTGTAGAGGGGAAGAGCTCCGACATATACCCAACGTCAAATCAAGAGATATATATGAATATAGCCATAGTAGAATCGTAGATGAATAAGGGAGGAAAAGGAAGACGATCGAAAGACACTCGAATGTGTGCTATAAGTACGTGTATTATATTGTATAGTGATATGATAGTGGTTCAAAGAAGAACCAACTACTCGTTTATATAAGAGCCTGCACGTAACTTAACCACGTGACCTAACCACGTGCCTAGCAAGGCCAGAGCATGCAGCGCACCCACGTGACAAAGGTGCTTAGCATCAATATTATATACATGGACAAAACAAATACAAAGCCCTAACTCCACTATATACGTCCTTCTTTCGAATCAGACTCGCCCTCGAGTCATCTCTTATTAAGGTGGTAAAGTTAGGTTTGCAAGACGAGCATATGGCCGAATAGCACGGTCGCAATATAGTCTTAAAGTACTACTTAATAATGCATCGCCGGATCGATGTTAATACAAAGCGTATATAATATAATAAAGAAGATAAGAATAGCAACGAAAATGCAAGATAATCCTTCGGGTCTAACTCCCTTTTATATCCTTTATAGCTCACTTATTCAATTACAAAAACAATATCAACTCGAGCGTTAGTATTATCGTTAAGATAAGCGTGCGCCGATTTAAGCGGTCAAGTGGTGACGCATTACCGAATCGATAATAGCGCGAGGCTTAAAGCGATAACGTAACAAAGAAAACAAAGGCGGCAGTATACATTCGAGGTCTTGTTATAAACAATCAACTTTCTTCTTATATCAACTTTATACTTTTCTATCTTCCTTTCAACATCACTACTTACTAACCTCATCCTCACTATCATGTTATCGATCTGCTCTTGATGCGTAAGCTACGCAAGCAGAACTATCGATAATGCTACGAGTCGGTGTATCTTCTTCGCCGACAAATCTATTAAATGCGAGCGTTGCCGTGCTATCAAGTCAACTTGCATCCCCGTAAGTTATCTTACCTTCCGTCTCACACTCGTTTTAACTCCGATTCGATAGCTCTTCGCAGAAGTCGTTAGTGTCGGTATAATCTTAATAAATGCGATAACGGCTATAGATAATAGAACTAAGACGGCCGACGACGTTTTTCGTAAGAGCACGATTGCAAATAACCTCTTTATAAAGACCCGCCGTGCTCTTGCCTCTCGTGTTAGCGATGCTTCTTCTTTTCTTCGAGCCCGTATCGCCGCTGCTTCTTTTGCCGCCGCTAATGCTAAAGGTCCTTTGATTGGCTTAAGTCCTGTCCCGGCGTTACGCTTACTTGCCGCCGCTGCTACCGCCGATCTAGCTTCGCTAGACTTGCTGCGTCAGATCCTAGCTGCAATAGATCGAAACAATACTTTGCTAAATAACTTTCTTAACCGCGTAAGTGTATATTGCGAACCTCTTGTGATTCCTTTTCGATCTAACTACGATAGATTACCGAAAAGTCCTCGTTCTTTTTATCTTTATCTTCGAAATCGCTAGTATCTCTTACCGCGAAAAGGCTCCGCCGAAATGCTCGCTAAGCTTTTAATCGCGGCAATATCGGTAGTTCCTCTTCGCGAGGTTCTAGCCGTAGCAATACTCGTGGTTCTACGAAAGGTTCGAGTCGTAGCAATATCGGTAAGACTTCGAAAGGTAAGAGCAGTGCCTAAGGTGCTGCGAGAAGCTCTCGTACTATTCCACTTAGCCTTAAATTGTAAAGTCGAAAGGGTTTTTATCGCGGGTCGGCAGCTTGCTAAGTAGTTAATATAATAGATTTTTCGTATGCTCTTCTTAATCAGCCTCCGAATAAGGTCCGCTTTATATATATGATATGCTCGTATATAATAGGTCGAAGGCATATAAGTGTGATAACGTAAGGCTCTTTAATACAAAAAAGGAAATAAAAAGAGTATAAGAAGAAAGAAAACAAAGAAAACCAAACTCAAACAAAGAAAAAATCAAAAAATCAAATCTAAACTCGTCCCCCCCTTACGTATAATCATGCCCTTATAACTTAATCACTTTCTGTTGCTTCTTCATCACTGCTTACAAAGACTCTTGCGTATTAGCTCCGTTGCTCTTTCGTAAAGCTAAGTAATCGAATGACAAATCCATTTAAGCGCTTGATCTAAAAGCCGGACTCGGCCACTTCATTTAATGAAAGCTATTCTAAAGATCTTTTTATTTAAAGCTTAAAGCGAAGTAGTGACGCTTTAAAGGTATATCGCACGTAAAACTTCTTTAATCGACTGCTAGCAAATGTTCCATTTAGCAAAGCCTCGTCTTCTCTTAGCTCTTTTAACTTATAATATCCTTTTATATTTACCGACGAAATTTAATAAAGGCTAAGCCACCGAAAATCCAGTTTCTTAACGTTAAACATATCTACTTTACGTACCGAGTCGTGTTTAAAGACCAAGTCACTTACTTCTAAGGGTCTGATTCGAAGGTTCTTCTTACTATTAAAAGCATCTTTTCCTTTTTAGCGGCAACGGGTTTTCTTAAGTGTGGCTTCCGTAGCGTCTTCGTCTCGCATCCGAAACTAGCGTGCCTTTAATTCGATAAGCTTAGCACGATTAGTTACTAGCTTTTAAAATAACGTAGCCTAAGACTAAATTCGGATCTTAATCGAAAGCATTGCTTCCTTGCTATATATTATATAAAAAGGAATAAATCCGGTAAGAGTATGCATCGAAATACGGTCGGCGAATAAGACGGCTAGCAATTGCGCAATTTAATCGGTGCTTTTAAGCTTACTTAATGCGTCTTTAATTAATCCGTGGCCGCGTTCCACTATTTCATTCGCTTAAAAGTAGTATATTAAAACCACAACTCGATTGATTCCTTAATTATTAAGTAAGTCGATTACCTCTTTCTTAAACTCCGAGCCTCCGTCGACTATCAGCTAAAAGAAAATCTTATAGCGGCAAATGATGTTTTTTTAAATAAACTTAGCTACCGAAAGCGAATCTCGGGTCCGAATCGCTCTCGCTTCGACCTATCCACTTATATCGTCTTTAACAATAACTAAATAGCTCTTACTATTACGTGCAAGTAAATAAGTGATATCGATAGCTTAACGTTTTATTAAGCTATTAAATCGGGTAAGATACAATAGCTCTTCGAGCTTATTAGCTGCTCGGTGCTAGCATTCCTTACAAGTCTTGACGAATCGTTTAACGTCCGTATAGCATCTATTTTAAAAGTAGCGCTGAAATACACGGTAGTAAGTTGATTTACGGCTTTTATAACCACTCTTATCGTAATAAGCCGTAATAATATCCGTTTTAATCGAAAGCTTATCGACCATTAATTAAAGAAAAAAACTTTTCGTCGAGAGTCTTTAAAGTTTCTTATCGTTCACTCCGTATTTAATAGCCTCCCTTTTGAACTTACGGCATTCTACTTTATTCAGGTCTTTAAGTCTTCGCAAAGTCGTTAAGAAAGTAGCTATCCGAATTAATTCCGAAAAATATTCGATTAAGTTTAAAGGACTTTTGTAATCGTAATCGTCGTCAAACTCGTTTAAGTTTGCATTCTCCGCTTCTTTTAAGCGTTAAAACATATCTTTAAAAATAGATTAACGAATATCTACTAAAAAGTCCGTCGAAGGTCCTTCGGAGCCGTCTCGAGCTTTAATAAGTCTTAAGTCGGCTAACAAGCTATCATCGAACTTATTCTTATCCTTTTCGCTTAAATCATCGGAGTGCCGTAGCCGTCTCGATAATGCATCGGCAGCGGTATGATCTTTATCGAGGACATATCAAACTTTAAAATCGAAAAGATTAATTTAAGCTAGCTAGCGTATAACTAAAACCGAAAGTATATCGGTAGCTCTTCGTCGAAGCTAAGCAACGAGCACTTTAGCGTTAGTCTCGAAGATAAAGTGCATTTCGATAATTTATAGCTTGAATTTCTTAAAAACCTTAAATACCTCGCGGCACTCTCGTTTAATAGCGTCGTAGTTCCGTTCTACCTCCGTCTAAGCCTCGGATTCGTATCGAGCCGATTGCACTTTGCTAAAGGTAGTCTCGCGTTAGCCGATATATCTTCTTTATCTTTTTAAGCTAGCGTCCGTTCTTACTATTATTTCTTTATTCTAATCTTCGTAATCGATCTTAATCAAAACCGGAGCCGTCGTCAAAGCATCTTATAGCATTCGCATAGCTTTCGAATGCGCTTCGGTCCATTACTAATCTATATCCTTTTTTATAAGGTTATAAAGAAAGTCAGTAATATGTGCGAATCCTTTAACTTAAATGCGAAAGTAAAAGCAAAGGCTTAGAAATCCTTTAACTTTAATAACGTTTTCGAAAGTTTTCTAGTTATTAATCTTAATAACTTTATTCGCAGCGGATTCTCGACCTTTCGAATTGCATACGAATCTTATTACATTTATCTTATCCCGGCAAAACTATAACTTTTCTTTAATTATAGCACTAGCGCGCTCAATCCGTTCTAAGGTCTTATCGATGTTCTAAATGTATTCAAATACGAATCGGCGTATACTCGAGAGTGCTTCTTCGTCGGAATAGTTCGTTTATAATCCTTTTACCTTAATATCGTCGACAAATAGCATAAAGACTTTAAGTTGCAAAAGCTTTAAGATAAGATTAACTATTCGAACGAATTAAGCTATCGAGTTTATAATACTTTACGGAAAGGTAATGCATCGAAAGAAACCTAGCGGTATAAAAAAAGCGATAAAGTCTTTACTCGACTAATAAAGTGTTTGCTAATTATAGCTCGAATAAAAGTCGACTAAGCTAGCCATCTAACAACTAAAAAACTCTTTAGCAAACTCATCTATAATTAAAAATAGATTAGCGTCCTTCTATGTAACTGCATTAAATAAAGTTGCTAAGTTAATAAGTCGATACTGGCCCGGCTGCTTTTTAATTACTAAAAACCATTAATTCCGGTACGGTCCTTCGTAATACTTTAAAACTCCTTTATCCAGCCTGTCTTAAAGCATTTTGATAACAATAAGCTATAAGGCCTTCGGACACGAGTAGTTAAGAGCTTGCCAAGCCGTATATAAGATGGTTTTAAGCTTAATCGATAGTAATACGTCGTCGTAAAACTTACCGCACTCTTGTTAAGCGAATGCAATTGATTTTTCTTTGCTTAGCATCATCTCTTTAAATAAATCTTTTTTTTTAAGCCGTAATGTATTATCGATATCCAAGTTCGTTATACGTTCGGGTGTGATTCGAAAGCTTTTCGGTATATCGGCAATGCGCGGAAAAAAGTATTGCTTGTATTCTTTTACTTGCTTTTATAACGTATCCTTGGCTTTCGATAGCTCGTACTAATCAACTTTGCCATTTAGTGCTGCTCTTACGCCGTCTGCTTCGTTAACTGGCTTGATCTTTTTATCCTTGGTCTTATACATGCCGAACACTTTAGTTAAATCCGAAAAGATCTTTTTTCGAGTCTGATAAAGTGTCGAATTCTAATAGTCGATATGATCGTAACAGCGGGTCATAAAGTTATCGGTGCTAACGGTATTTATCTAACAAGTTATTAAAAGATCGCATAGATCGCATTCCGTAAAAGCAAAAACATCGATAAACTGCTCTTAAGTAATAAAGTCGTCCTTTCTTTAATGCTATAACGTTTCGCCCTCGAAACTAAGCGAAAAGCAAGAAGCTTCTAATATACCGACTTCGGCGCTTTTAACGAGGCCGGTCATTAGTTTTCCGAATCGCTACCGCTGCTACTCAAAGACTTATCGTAGTAAATAAAGCTTATACTCTATTCTTTTAAGCGATCGACGGCTTCGTCGTATTAATTCGTCTTATCGCTCACTTTAGCTTAAGTAATTTGGCCCGTAAACGGATCAATAACTATAGCAATAACAAGGCCACCTTTATAATCCGAAAGGTATCGAAGACCGATTCTTGCTTTACGTATAAAAAAGTAACCGAGTATAAGTCGAAACCTTAACGAATTTATAACGTAGAATCGAGTACGGATCGTAGCACTTCCGATATTAACAAACACATTATCAGCGTATCTAATAAAACGCGATAGTAAACCGATAATTATTCGAAAGCTTATTTCTTAATCGTAAGCTATAAAGACTTCGAATTTAACCGCGGCGTCGTAAGTGATAACGCTAACCTCCGCACTTATATCGAGTATAACTCGCGCATTAATAATAAAAGACTGTCCGAAAATACTAACGATAACTTTAAGAGTTAGCGAATGATAATAAAAGTATTTAAAAAATAGCTAGCCGAACGTCGAAGCAAAGCCGATTTCCGTCGAAAAAAGTTTCGTATCACTTTTGTTTGCGGTTCGTAAAGTACGCCGATCCTCACGAGTAAACTAATCGAAAAAAAGATATTAGAACTAAAAAACACCGTAAAATATAACTATAAAAAGAATCGGAATAAGGCCGATAATAAAAATAAAGCAGAACCGTCTTTAAATCGAAGGAGATTCGGGCGCGAAAAGCGTATTGCGTCGGCGGTGCTTCGTCTAGCTGCTACGGATATTCTTTTGCAATTAAAGCTTGATCATCTAAGAGAATTCGAATAAGCGTCTAAGCCAAGACCGCTAAGCAATAGCATTTTGATGTAAGATCCGTCTTAATCGAGCAAAAACTTATATAAGGTCTGCCTCTTTAGTGATTCAGCCGTAAATCGAAATAACAAAAGAAAAAAGAAAAAGTAAATTCTTGCGATAAAGCGCTTTACCGATAAAGCGACCCGTTACTTTGCAAAATGGATCGCCACTAAATAAAAAGATATTAC